AGTCTGGGGGTGATCTCAGACCCCATTTGATCTATGGAGGCCCAGATTGCTAATGTTGTTGGGCAGGCATTTTTTTAACTGTGCCAAGTCATACAACTGACCCCCTATCTATCTCTCCCTGACCTTTCCACAGTAATCCATGCAACAGTAATCTCCAGGCTGGATTACTATAACTCGCTTTACGTAGGGCTACCCTTGAAACTGACCTGGAAGCTCCAGCTGGTACAAAATATGGTGGTGCGGGTCCTTACAGGCATGGGCATAGACTTTCCAATTTCCGGGGTTGGGGCTGGTCCAGAGGCATTGCTATGCTAGGTCCTTAAAAGAACTGGGGCCCAGTGACATTATAGGGAGGAACCAGTGACATCACAGGCCATTGTCACTATCTATGGAGGTGGAGTCATGTGGGATTTAGAAGGGGGCTCCCCAGAAATTTAGGGGGACTGTGAACCCATGGGAACCCCCCAAGCCATGCCCCTGGGCTGGGCTAAACCCAGGAAAAGATTGGAGTTGGCCAGTGGTTATAGTGGTATCTCAGCAGTCTCCTGCTGTCTCCTTTCTTAAAATTCACTTTTAGAATAGTCACTTTAAGATCTGCAAATATACATACCATGTGACATAAAACAAACAAATGGTTGTAAATTTGACAGTAAGGAAGGCAATACAGAAAAGCCTGTAGGGGAACATTTTAAAAGTTTTCCTGGATGTTCATTTATAGGAGTCTTGGTTCTGCCTTATTCATAAGGGTGACTTTGTACTGAAATTTAGTAAATTATGGCATCACAGATGCCTTTGTTTGGTAAATGCATGGCTGAAGTCTGAGACAGGGCAGAATACCAAACAGTTGTTGTGCACTCAATTAATGAGCAATGTACAGAGTTCAGAGTAGCAGTAATCTTCTTCTCACTTCAAACTGGGAGTTGCAGAAGTGTTCTCAGACTATCATTCCACTTTGTAGGCTGTCATTCCAGTCCCAGAACATCTCTGCTACTTCCAGGGGCCATCATTCCACTCTGGGGACTGTCATTCCAGTCCCAGAGCACTGAGCCTATTCCCAGGGGCTTGGAAGCAAAATTGCCATTCCCCTCAATTTTGAATTCCCACAAGCTTGGATTTGATATGTAAAGCAATTATTTCTAAAAATTCTATGGTTAGAATTTTTTAGTAAAACATCAGGATGTAATTTGCATAAATTGTTGTAAACTCTTTTCTTTTTTATCATATTATTCAATCCTCTGGAATTCAAAGAAATAACCTTTATTGAAGCCATTTTTAATAACCTTATTTGTTAAAGAGAAAATAAAATAATATACCAATATGCATTCAAATGATTAATGACACTACTGTGCACTCAAGAACCACAGCAGTAATAATTCTATAACTTAAATCCTTTGCTGTTTCCTTTCTTTCAATAGCTATTTGTTTTACTATACTAACACTTTTCTACTGATTTCTAAATCTCAATTATTTTAATCGTCCTAAACTCTTATATATAACCTGTCTAACCTATTCTTAACTTAACCTAAGCCCCGGTCACACTGGCTGGAACATGCGAGGGGGGGAGCGTGGCTGTTTGCCCCGGGGCAAAATAATGTGCGGTTGCGCGATCAGACCTCCCGTGGAGCTCCTGTGGAGGTCCCGTGGTTAGGGGGAGGTGCCGATCACATGGCGCAGCAAAGAAGCGGGGCAAAGAAGCGGGGGCCGCGCACGAGGGAAGGCAAGGAGGGGGCTGCCAGAGACAGCTGGCCAAGCGGCGCTGGGGAGAGGAGGGGCCAGCTGGCTAGTTGTGTAAGGGCAACAGTCGGGGAGCCGGCTGGTGGGGCATACAAAGAGGGCAAAGCAGCATGGCTCAGCCCCCTTCGCCCTGACCGCGCCTCTTCCTCCGCTGCCTCCTCCAGCACCTGTCTTCGAGGCTATGGTGGTTGCCGCCCTCCTGGCTCTTCGGCTCCCTGGCCGCTGGGGCTTCGATCCCGCAGCCTCTGCGCACCCCCCCTCACGCCGCCCGTGTGTCTAGTCAACTCTTCCCGGCTTTGCCCCCTCTTCCCCAAGCAGACTTTGTACTCTGCCGCCGCAGCCCCCCCTTTCTGGGCTTCACCTCAGCCGCTTTCTCTTCTGCCTTGCCCCCTTTCCCCCTGTTTCTCTCTCGCCTCAAGCCATGCACTCTGTGTTGCGTTTCTTTTGGCTGCTCTCCTCTTCTCTGGACGACTCAAGTCTTAGCGAGCTGCTCAGTTGTGTGTGTTTTTTTTTAACTAACGTGTGCGCATGCTCCATTGGGTGCTTGTGCGCATCCATGGAGACTTTGAAAAAAAACACCTTTTTGTGAGGGGACATGGGCGGGCGCCGGAACTACCACCGGAAATGTGATCAGATGCCCGCCCTTGCCCCGCGGTTTCAGGAAACTAGTACCTCCGAGGTACTCGTTTTTTACCGCGCATCTTCCGCAGGAAGCCTCGGGTTCGGCACGGGAGCTCTATGCTTCCCAGATGTGGCAGTGAGATCGCGCCCGGAAAATCCGCCTATCTTCCGTCCCTCTAGCATGCCTAATGCTCTGTGTGACCACAGCCCTACTTTTCTTTCTTTTTTTACTATAATTAAAACTAAACAGAACTAAACAAACCACAAGATTTTCTTGTATCACTTTATATTATTTTCTAATATACAGTGTTTTAAACTGTCTCTACAGTTTTCTGCAGAAACTCTGCAGACTAACAGGATTTTACTTCCTGTTCCTTATTAGGGTTACCCTCCCTCCTTGGGAACTTTAACTAAAACTTCTCTGTAAAATACTATTCCCCCCTCAGTCCTGCCATTACATAAGTTCCTTTTTCTCTTATCATTTTTGCATATATCCTAATGCTTTAAAGAACACAGAAATCTAATTAAACAAAACTTACTTTATAAAACATACTTATTCCAATTACCCATTTAAATTTAATGCCGTTCTAATTACTTGTAAGCTTTCTTGTGGAAGATAGCAGTATCTTGCTGTCTCTTGGAGGGGTCGTCTGAAAGTGCAGTTTTCTTTTGTAGTGCTTTTTAGTCCCTTCTGTTGTAGTTTTTAAGCCCAGCTTCTCCAGATGTTGGAGTCCAGAAACTGGATCTGTGGCTTTTAATCTTGTTCCGTTGTGGATTACTTGCACTGTAGATGGACCAATCCATTTGTATTTTTGCTTTGCTTCCTGTAGTTGGGTAGTGGTTTAGATATCACTCCGTTTAGATATCACTTCAGAATGTAGGTCTGGAAATATTTCTATTTTATGGTCTTTGTATTTAAAAGATCCTCTTAGTCTAGCTTCAATCAAAATTCTTTTGTGAACTCTATAATCCAGGGCTGTTATTACTATGTCCCTTGGGCCTTGTCTTTGTGTGTTTTTTGGAAAGCCCAAACGATATGCTTTAACAATTACTGGGATAACTCTCTCTTCTAAATTTAGAATCTTTGCAAGCCAGTCGGCTATAAAACAATATAAATCCTCATTTGTATTTAGGTCCTCCAGAAATCTACGTTTGATGTTATTTTTACGTAGCTCCATATAAGTGTAAAAGTTTATTTTGCATTTGCTCATTTTCTATTTGCAAGTTGTGGGTCTCATCTTGGACTGTTTCAGCTAGAGTCATTGCACACCCTGCTTTCTTTTGAGTCTCAGTAATAGTTTTATTAATTTCTTGTAGCTGTTCTTGCAGTGGCTTAAGTAGTGACCCCAATTTTATGGAAATCCTGTCTTCCACTTCAACCAGGTCTAATTTAGATAGAGGCGTTAAGAGATCTTGATCTTCTATGCTTTCATCCGCCATTTTGTTTTGCCGCGAATCCCTCTAACGATATTTTTCCCTTTATTCTTATAACAAAGATGGGCTTACCGGCTGGGTTTTTGCTGCTGATGATCATGCTAGATGGTTCATACAGCAAGTCCAGCATTTTCCTAGGCCAGTTTCTGTCGTTTAAAGTATTTTCTTTGTTGATTTAGGCAGGGTTGAGCGGAGCGGTAGAATTAGGCGTCCATAGACCTCGCACGATGCCATGCCCCACTTTCCCTCCTTCTTTTCTTTTCTCTCTCTTTCTTTCCCTCTCTCTCATTCTTTCCCTTTTCCCCACCTTCTTTCCTTCTCTTTCTTTCCTTCTTTCCCTCCATTCTGTCTTTCTTTTTCTTTCTTTCCCTCTTCCCCTCCTTTTTTCCTTCTCTCTTTCTTTCTTTACCCCTTTTTCTCTTCTCTCTCTCACTTTCTTTCTTTCCCTCTTTCACTCCTTCTTTC